GCGATCTTCTTACAGTGAGGGCAGTCTGGCTCTTGCATCAGCAGTGGCCTACGGTGGCCTACACAGTACAGGTAGAGCGATGGTCTCGATTCGTGAAGGTCTGAGTTCAATTCCCGACCTTCCTAGTGGTGGTTGGGCACCAAGCCTTTCCCCCATCCCATTTCGAATCCTTATCTTGATCCCTTCCAAGTGCTACGTAGTCGTAATGACTTGGCGCTTTCTCCTGATCGTTTCCTTCCATTCCCCCAGTGACACTGATAGATAAGCACAGAGCGTCCCACGGTAATAGTGCCTCCCACACCAAAAATAATGTTAAGTTACACCATGTTTATCCTGCCAATCACTTTAGCGTGACACACAAAGAACAAGCCAGAGGCCGGATATAACTAATCCAGCACAGGGAACAAATATTATTATGCTGGAGGCCCTTTGTTAAGGTGCATTTAAATCCGTCTTAGCAGTAAACGAACAGGGACCACCGGCCGACTTCCAGGATCAGGCACATGCGAACCAGGAACACAACATTTGACGATATCTAAAACAAGGTTTGACGGGCCATTTCGCTCCTGCTATTACCAAGATGGTCCTGGTAACCACAGGAGAGACTTGTGGCTCCTGTGACTAAGATGTCAGACTTCAGGCCCAGTCTTTTGGTGTATAAGGTAGTGAACAGTGAGAGGGGGGGGGGGCAGGTCTTGGAGGCCTCTCCCACAGGAGCTCTCAGTATCCCGGTGACAGTGAATCCCAGCAGCCGGCTCCGGGATTTACTGCCCTCCACATAAAGCCAAGTGCCGGCCAGCCGGTCTGGGAATGGCCGTGCCCCCTGTCCCCCTGAATATTGCAGCCGACCACCCGGGGAGGGTCCCTGGTGGCCCCCGGTGAGGGTCCCTGGTGGCCACCATGGTCCACCATGGACCGGTGAGGGTCCATGGTGGCCCCGACCACACGTGGCTCCAGTGATCACTGCCGGAAGTCAACATGTCGTTTGGACATGCTGACACAAATAGTTAAATACACACACACGTGCTCACACTCACGCTCACTGACAATACGAAAATGACATCTCAAGCAAGGCAAAGACTCAGCCTAAATTGTTGCATAGCCACATCAGGAGAAAAACAACAGTAAAGGAACAGGTAATGAAAATAAGGATAGGGCAGAAGGATTCACTACAAATGACAAGGAAGTGTGTGAGGAACTGAATAAGAAATTCCAAGAGCTCTTCACCTTAGAGCAACCTTGAGGTTACCTTGAGGTGCTTCCGGGGCTTAGCGTCCCCGCGGCCCGGTCGTCGACCAGGCCTCCTGGTTGCTGGACTGATCAAACAGGCTGTTGGACGCGGCTGCTCGCAGCCTGACGTATGTGTCACAGCCTGGTTGATCAGGTATCCTTTGGAAGGAGAAATTCCAGAGATAAGAGAGGGAATAGTTAACCAGGAACCACTAGTAGAGTTTGAGATTACCAGAGGGGAAGTAAGGAAGTGTTTACTAGAGATGGATGTGATAAAGCCTATAGGCCCAGATGGAATCTCCCTTTGGATACTAAAGGAAGGAACAGAAGCACTGTGCCTGCCACTCTCCATAATGTATAACAAATCACTGGCAACAGGGGAACTGCCAGAAATTTGGAAAGCAGCTAATGTAGTTCCTATACACATGAAAGGGGATAGACAGGAGGCACTGAACTACAGGCCAGTGTCCCTATCCTGCATACCATGCAAGCTGATTGAGAAGATTGTGCGAAGAAAGCTAGTGGAACATCTGAAGCGAAAGAACTTTGTAACACAGCATCAACATGGGTTCAGGGATGGCAGGTCCTGCCTCACAGGGCTAATTTAATTTTACGACCAGGCAACAAAAATCAGGCAAGAAAGAGAGGGGTGGGCAGATTGCATATTTTTGGATTGTCAGAAAGCCTTTGATACAGTACCACACAAGAGGCTAATGAAAAAGCTGGAGATGCCGGCTGGAGTGAAAGGGAAGGTACTCCATTAGATAAGGGAGTACCAAAGCAACAGAAGACAACGAGTCAGTGTGAGAGGTGAGGTCTCAGATTGGCGTAACGTCACAAGTGGAGTCCCGCAGGGGTCAGTCCTTGGACCTATACTGTTTCTGATATATGTAAATGATCTCCCAGAAGGTATAGACTCGTTTCTCTCAATGTTTGCCGATGATGCAACAATTATGAGGAGGATTAAAACAGAGGACGATAGTAGGAGGCTGCAAGATGACCTAGACAGACTGAGTGAATGGTCCAACAAATGGCTGCTCAAGTTCAACCCGAGTAAATACAAAGTAATGAAACTAGGCAGTGGAAACAGGAGGCCAGACACAGGATACAGAATAGGAGATGAAGTACTTAATGAAACGAACAGAGAGAAAGATCTAGGAGTTGATATCACACCAAACCTGTCTCCTGAAGCCCACATAAAAAGAATTTCTTCTGGGGCATATGCGAGGCTGGCTAACATCAGAACAGCGTTCAGGAACCTGTGTAAGGAATCATTCAGAATCTTGTATACCAAATACGTAAGACCAATCCTGGAGTATGCGGCCCCAGCGTACAGCCCGTACCTTGAAAAGTACAAGACGAAGCTGGAAAAAGTTCAGAGGTATGCCACTAGACTAGTCCCAGAACTATGAGGCATGAGTTACGAGGAAAGGCTGCGGGAAATTCATCTCACGACACTAGAAGACAGAGGAGTAAGGGGAGACATGATCACTAACTAAAAAATTCTCAGGGGAATTGACAGGGTAGATAAAGATAAACTGTTTAACACGGGTGGTACGCGAACAAGGGAACTCAGGTGAAAACTAAGTTCCCGAATGAGCCACAGAGACGTTAGAAAGAACTTTTTCAGTGTCAGAGTAGTTAACAAATGGAATGCATTAGGAAGTGATGTGGTGGAGGCTGACTCCATACACAGTTTCAAATGTAGATATGATAGAGCCCAGTAGGCTCAGGAATCTGTACACCAGTTGATTGACAGTTGAGAGGCGGGACCAAAGAGCCAAAGCTCATCCCCCGGAAGCACATCTAGGTAAGTACACACTACAATACCCTTATCATACAGGAATAAAATGAGAAAAAGTTTAATTATGGTAAGCTCTCACGGCGGCCCTTCATTAGCGCCAGGGCCATCACGTCTGTAATTACTGAACAATTAACACCATGCCATAAACACTGTGGGTGTCGGACCGCCCCACTCTAATCTGTGGGTGTCGGACCGCCCACTCGACACTGTGGGTGTCGGACCGCCCACTCGACACTGTGGGTGTCGGACCGCCCACTGGACACTGTGGGTGTCGGACCGCCCACTCGACACTGTGGGTGTCGGACCGCCCACTGGACACTGTGGGTGTCGGACCGCCCACTCGACACTGTGGGTGTCGGACCGCCCCACTCTAATCTGTGGGTGTCGGACCGCCCACTCGACACTGTGGGTGTCGGGCCGCCCACTCGACACTGTGGGTGTCGGACCGCCCCACTCTAATCTGTGGGTGTCGGACCGCCCACTCGACACTGTGGGTGTCGGGCCGCCCACTCGACACTGTGGGTGTCGGACCGCCCCACTCTAATCTGTGGGTGTCGGACCGCCCACTCGACACTGTGGGTGTCGGGCCGCCCACTCGACACTGTGGGTGTCGGACTGCCTTCTCCACTTTCAATATTCTCAATTTGAATAAAGTTGTGTATTAATATATAATATATATCCCCACACCTGATTGGTCGTCCATGGTTCAGACTTTCCTCGTCAGTGTTGTGTCGTGTGCGAGAACTGCCGCGTGTTTACAGTCGTGTGTTCGTGAGAACTTGCTTAGTGCCAGTTATTTATCGTTTACAGCACGTGAGTGTAAGGAGGACCTTCATGACTCCATGAAGCATGGGTGGACATTGTTACCAGGAAATGCTTGCGAACGGTAGGACTCTAGCCGACTATTGCGGGTAATACTTTCCCGCAATAATTGTGGTTACCTTTTGCTGGTAACTGTGGTATAAAAATCCTAAAGTCTTTCTCTCTCTCTCTCTCTCTCTCTCTCTCTCTCTCTCTCTCTCTCTCTCTCTCTCTCTCTCTCTCTCTCTCTCTCTCTCTCTCTCTCTCTCTTTCCTTCTCGTGCTGGTCGGCCCGCCATACCAACCCACACTTGCCCATATTCATCGTACTCATCCTATTTTCCACCTCTTAAAAGATCCTCATCTTCCGGCCCTCAACATCCCCGCGATCTCTGTCGCCTGTCCCCTTACGCTCACACACGCCTCCCCTTCCTCCCAATACTCCATTCACCCCTCACCACTCTCTTCTTCCTCTCCTCCCAGTTTCTCCCTTTAATATTTACGCTGAAGCGCTAACACAAGTGATCCAACTGGGATTCCTTAGCGCCTCACGCTTAAACAAACCAAATATATTCTCACAGAAATATAGCCAAAATTTCTAGTGAGCTAACTCAAATTTTTCTTTTTCACGCAAATTTAAAAATGTCCCAGCGACACACACACGACCTCCAGAAAAGGCCGAAGAAGCCACAAAAGCTGAATTTATGGATATTGTGTCTGGAAAAGAGTATTATTGCTGTATAACTATGGCATAAATTCTCCATCGATTTATAATTTTGCCGCGTTCTCCTTCCGTTAATTTGTGCAGTAACCAAATGATGTGCAGATAAATGGATGTTATTCATGGCTTTCGGCTTTGTATGTGTTTGTCCTGTGTGCAAGCTCCGCCATTTTTTATCAGTATCTTTACCTGTGGCCATTTAAATTCTATTTCCTTCTCCTCGCACCTCGCTTCCCGTCCACCTTCACTCATCCTCTCCCGTCCCGTCTTCCACCTGCCCCCCTGCACGACGCTGGTCGTCCACAGGACCGCCTGCCCCCTGCACGACGCTGGTCGTCCACAGGGCCGCCTGCCCCCCTGCACGACGCTGGTCGTCCACAGGACCGCCTGCCCCCCTGCACGACGCTGGTCGTCCACAGGGCCGCCTGGCCCCTGCACGACGCTCATGGTCGTCCACAGGGCCGCCTGGCCCCTGCACGACGCTCATGGTCGTCCACAGGGCCGCCTGCCCCTGCACGACGCTCATGGTCGTCCACAGGGCCGCCTGCCCCTGCACGACGCTCATGGTCGTCCACAGGGCCGCCTGCCCCTGCACGACGCTCATGGTCGTCCACAGGGCCGCCTGGCCCCTGCACGACGCTCATGGTCGTCCACAGGGCCGCCTGCCCCTGCACGACGCTCATGGTCGTCCACAGGGCCGCCTGACCCCTGCACGACGCTCATGGTCGTCCACAGGGCCGCCTGGCCCCTGCACGACGCTCATGGTCGTCCACAGGGCCGCCTGCCCCTGCACGACGCTCATGGTCGTCCACAGGGCCGCCTGGCCCCTGCACGACGCTCATGGTCGTCCACAGGGCCGCCTGGCCCCTGCACGACGCTCATGGTCGTCCACAGGGCCGCCTGGCCCCTGCACGACGCTCATGGTCGTCCACAGGGCCGCCTGCCCCTGCACGACGCTCATGGTCGTCCACAGGGCCGCCTGCCCCCTGCACTATTAATTACTCTTCCCGTAAACGTGTTCCCCTTGACTTCTTTTTTTGTCAGCTATAATTATAATTACAAACATTGAGTGTAAACAAAAGTGTTTATAAAAGTCGCGGGAAAATTAAACAGGTACAGACGAGGTAAACATGATGCTTGGTGGAGGAGATGACAGACAGAGCCGGCCGCTCACTTACCACCATCAGCGGCCTCCAAGCTATATATAAAAATAAATATTTAGCAATAAATCTGATACAAATTATTGTTTACATAAAAGGAAGGCGTCGAGGGGTAAACGTGGCCTCGAGGAAGCCGCTATAATGTTAGAGCCTATAAGAACAGTCTTATTGCTCGCCATCACACACCACGAAACTATGACGTTGCTACAACGTTCCAACAAGTTTTAAAGCCTAACCCGCCAAACACACACCGAAACTACGACGTTGGTACAACGTTCGAACAAATTTAACACCATTTAACCAGTTATAACAACCAATATAGCAAGTTGTAACAACGTTCTCATACGTCATAAACACGTCAAGCCAAGATGTAGTTGTAACAAGTTGTAACAAGCGTAAAATAGAGACAGTTTCGGTTTGTGTTTCCAGGGAATAAGTTATAACAACCAATATAGCAAGTTGTAACAACGTTCTAATACGTCATAATAACGTTATAAAAAGATGAAACAACTTTATTACAAGTTATAACAAGGTGAAAATAGGGACAATTACGTTGTGTGTTTGTTTGCAGGATGGGGATGTGTTTACAGTTTTGGGAGTGAGGGGCCAGGAGGCCTCGCTGACCCTGGCGTCTCACCTACGCCGCCACCTGCCACCTGCTGCTTCCCGTATTCCCACCACCACCACCACCACCTAACCTTGCCACCAGAGCCACCGACCTTGCCACCCGAGGGGAAGGGTGTTATTGGTGAGGGGAAGCGGCACGAGGAGGGAAGGTGAATGTTGTTTCGTGGTAAGAAAGGGGGACGGTATTAGAGCCAAGGGGGAGGGAAAATTGATTAGGAATGTTTGGGTTGCGTGGAAGAGTGAAGCAAATTTTCTGAGGCATACGAGGTTAGAGGAGAATAGACTGAGATACGGGCCCTATGTTGGGAATAGGGAAGGGGGCGGTTAAGAATGTGTTTGGGATAGGCGTGGGGATGTATACAGGGCATGGGGGTACGGGATGAGGCTATACATGCCCCCCCATGTATAGCCTGGCTTTCGGCTTTGAATGGGCTATACATGCCCCTGGTGAGTAGGTGGCCTGAACGCCTCAGCTTTGAACCACCATGTCATACACTGAATAATAGTACTGAATCCTCGAGATTTGGTCTTTATTCAAATTATTAAGACCATTCCTGAACTTGCATTGTTCAATGTGAAGCTTGGTATGATCTTAGTAAGATTTGTAAGATCAGTTCTGTGAGTCCTACTGAAGTCTTTGTATTATCTCCAGCAATACTACGGAGGTCACTTTTAAAGTGTGCGTAGAGAAGAAGTGTAAAGCTTTGATTGGTCTCTAGAAAGACAGCAAGCATATTTACTGAAATGTATATAGTTAATTGAAATGGCATCACAGATCAGTCTGCTACCTCGAAGAGCTTCACCTGCTTGAGCAAGCCCGTAAGCTCCTGCCTGTAGAGAGGTTACCTCTCTGGGAGGATGACTCATGGAAGATTATCATCAATGAAATGGCAATGAAAAAATCCAACATGATACCACAAGAAATGAGGCATAAGTATCTCGAGGAAATTTATAAAGAAGGCGGAGATGAACTAGATCAAATCTACACTGACGGGTCATCTAATCCTGTCAATGGCAGGGCTGGTGCAGCATACACGGTAATTAAGGATAATGCTTTCCAACGCAGAAATTAAGAAAAAGCACGTATTGAGAACTATGCCTCTTCAACGCAAGCAGAACTAACTGCCATTGATATGGCGTTAAGGTTTCTTGAACAGAACACTAATGGTGCAGTGATTTCCACTGATTCAAAAGCAGCGCTTCAAAGCCTAAGTAAAAATAGGGCTGAAAATCTTGCAATAGTCGCTGAAATTAAGAGAGCTGTGAGAGTACTTACCAATCAGGGAAGAGTCATCAAGTTTCTGTGGATCCCCTCCCATGTTGGAATATGTGGGAATGAACGAGCAGATGTGCTGGCTGCTGAAGGCGCTGAAGGAGACCATATTGAATACTTCATACCCAAGACTCTACTACAAATTAGAGGTATTGTCAGGCAACATCACCGTGACAAGGTAACTGAGGAAAGGAGGATAGAAGCACAAACCAGTGAATTTGTACGATGGTACAACATGGTTGCAGTTGGCAATCCCAATCATTATGGACGAAGAGGAGGTGGACGCGGAAGTCAGTAATAGCGAGAATCCGTCTTGGATACAAATATCCATGGATACGGAATGGAAGCAACTGTTGATCAGCGAAGCTGCAGAATCTGTGATGAGAGTGACGGACACCGCCTTGACCACTATCTACGTGAATGTGAACACCTGAGAGACATTAGAAGTATGTGTAGAATAATAAACCCCACATTGTTTGAATTAGGAAAACACTTTTTGTCAAATATTGATACTGTTCTTAAAAGATTTCCCCATTTTGCACCCACAAGATAACGTAAGCATTTAAGGGTTGACATATGTTAATCTTCTTGTTTGAGGAGCTGTTCACTTGAGACAATTAAGCAAGTCCCAGCTGTGTCTGGGTACAAGTGACAGGGTGAACAACCCAGCGGGTTTTTCTTCCTTTTGGGGAGTGTTGTACATGCTGCTATGGCGGTGTGTCCACTCACAAGATGAGTGGCTGTTACGGACCCGAGTCCAGCGTCCTAGCACGGAGCGGAAACGACCACGCCATCTGTGAATCAGCTCCCGAAACCCCCTCCAAATGGACGACGCCATCTAGTGAGGACGAGATATATAACGGCCACAGGGGCTGGTTTCCCGTCTTGATCAGCTAGTAACGTAGCCGCTGCTGACCTCTGGTGAGGTGACGCTTAGGCAGCAACGCCATCTATGGAGTGGATAGGTGGACGTTTGTGTCTAAGCCTGTGAGTGAGATGCCCTAGAGTGTCCCTAGTACTGATGACGTGTCTGATTACAGAGTCGACCTGGGACTGCTGAATCGGACGGTGGATCAGTCTACCCAAGGCAGCCGAAGTATTTCCACGAGTTTGCTGCAGAAGCTGTGAGTCACCCCCCCCCCCGGATGAACACTGTTGTGTTAGCCTGCCTGTGACGTGGCAGTTGGGGAATTGTCGTACCCGGGGCTGACTGGTGGAGAAGACTAGCCACTGGGGGTGTTGTGGTGAGGAGAGTGATCTGTGGAATCACACGAGGCTCCTGCCTAGGGCTTGCAACCCTAGTATCGGTCGTGGAGTGGCCTACGCAGCGTAGCTGATTGGAACCTGCCAGCTACAGGCTGGATTTGTGGTTGAAGGCCTCCGCGACGGTGCATCCAGTGGGACTGTGATTTGGCTGGCCTGTTTTATAGACTCGTGGGTTGGTTAGTGTTGTCGTCGTCGATCCTTCTCTATGGACAACCCAACCCACAACTCGGCAGAGTGCTTATACTAGGAGATCACCCTTGGCGCTTCTGGCTCTTGGAGAGGGGCTCAACGTCACACGTTTAGGGGATGCGGCTCCAACACTTAGCCTCGTTGTCACGTGCACACACCCACTCGAGCCGCTGTGACTCCCCACTCTCTCCTTATGAGATATGATCTCCTCAATCCCCTATAACTTACTAGTATTACCTCTTACCCTGTCCACAGCAGTGGTTCTTGGTTCTTTCTCTCTCCTTCTTTACTACCTCCTGGGAAGCCTCACTAGGACAAGGGCAAACACCAGCAAATTGTGACACATTTACTTGACAAAGCACATACACGATACATACACACATATAATAATAATGAATCCTATACTCTATAATATCACAATCAGGTTGCACTCCAACACCATCAGAACTCTATTATCAGCTTATCAAGGGGTATCCTATCTCCTGGTTCGCCACCTGATACCATTAACCTCCTCAAGTTGGTCAAGCCTACATACACTGTTGCACTATCAGCAAGATAATGTATATATAGAAAATCAGCATTTGAATGCAATAACATATACCAGTATAAATGTTCATTGATACTTCAGTATAAAAAAACTCCTTGACATAAGAATGCCAACAGTCACTCACCTCTCACTGCGTCTTGCACGCTAATGACAACCAAACACTATCAACTCCCTACTAGTAATCCACCAGAACTTCCCCTTCCACCTCTGGAAGTTCACTACCCTAATATCTTTAGGTTCTTCCGGGCTTCACTACCAGGATCCTCTGCAGCTCCTCCAGGCTGCTATCATGAAGTTTCCTTGTGCAACTACGGTGCTTCACCCTTCTGTTATGTTCCTCCACAGCTCTCTTGGCTGCTACACCACCTCTACAGAAGCACGTGACACTCCTCTTCACTGCTGCTTCTCCTCACAGCTCGAGGTCCTCTGCTCCACTACCTTTGGAGTCTCATCAATTACTTCATCTGCTGGCTTTGAAGTTCTCAGCAACTTCTTCCCCAAAAGACAAACCTGCAACCCATCGACACTCCAATAAAATGTTCCCCTTTAACACATAAACAAAAATAACCACACAATATGCTTGCCTCAAACCTCTATCTGTCCTCTACATACAGTGAGAGTGGACTCCCCCGTTTTGGGCGGGTCCATACTCCACCTCGCCTGGCGGCGGTCCTCACTCGCTGGGAGGGTCTTCCTCCATCCGGAGCCAGGCTCCCTCAGTCGTCCGTCAGAGCTCAGAGGGGATGGACGTCGCTCCGTGCTCCTCCCTCTTCACTCTCCTATTTCAGGCCTTCTGCCTTATTAAAACATGTCTAACCTATAAATAAACATTGCTACCGTCGCTGGGCACACGACCAACTACAAACAATCACTATGAACTGGCGTATATCGTGCTTACCACAGATTAACTGATCGAGGGCGCTTTCCCTCTGACGGCGTCTGGTCAG